TTTCGAATGGAGTAAAATGATTGTTGCATACGTGAGTTAATGGAACTTTTGCAGACTATAATTAATCAGGAGAATCCATATGCACTTGCATTTAAAAACATGGCAAGCCCACATTAATGTTATAATGTCTATTAAGTCAGTGAAGGATTTATACAAATATGTCTATAAGGGGCATAATTGTGCAAATGTGGTAAATAATGAAAGTGTTGACCATGATGAAATTAACATATATTTAGACTGTCGCTTTGTTTCCGCACAAAGAGGTAGTGATAAGGTGGTTGTTCGAATGTATAAAGTCAGTTCATTTTGCAAATTATTTTTTCTCAGATAGTTACTTTTGCATGTAAAAGTCTTTTGAGGATTTGTGTACTGTTCATGGTACTGTTTTGAATACATTTCGTGAAGCATGTTATCATTTAGGTTTATTGCAAGATGACATTGAGTGGAGAAATACATTAACTGTTACAACTCAGATGCCTAAACAAATTAGGCTACTGTTTTCCATCATATTAACTTTATGTGAACCTGATGATCCTTTATACTTTTGGAATACATTTGAAAACTATATGATAGAGGATTACATACACCATTCAATGGCAGCTGTACTTGCTGAACAGGCAGCTCTTCGTCAACTTGAATCTATAATTAATCATAGTGGTAAAACCTTAGCTGATTATAATTTGCCTGCTTTAGATCAGTTTTAAGATAATGTCCCAGATAATGATGATGACGATGTTCAGGTGTTTATTGATGAAGTAAACCGAGTTAAATCGTTATTGAATGATAATCAGCGATTCAATAACGATCCTTGCTGCACTAAGTGAGGAAAGAATGAAAATAAGCATTCAAGATTGTTCTTTATGGATGGGCCAGCTGGTTGTGGTAAAACATTTACTTAAAATTATTTAATTGCTGAAACACGAAGCAGGCATAATAGAACTGCAACAGTTGAATGGACAAGAATAGCTGCAACTCTTTTCTACACAATGCATGGCTTATTCAAACTTCCTGTTCCAATTTTGGAAACTAGCACATGTAATGTAATTCCAAACTCTATTCATGGTAGATTTCTGAGACAAGTCAGTTTGTATTTACTTGATGAAGCATTTATGATACCTAAATATGCTTTAAGTGCCATTGACAAGCTATTACAAGATATTTGTAATAACAACTTTCCTTTTGGTGGTAAGGTTATTCTTATGGGTGGAGACTTCAGACAAACACTTCCAGTTCTAAGGCGAGGTCGACCAGCAGAAGTTATAGAATCATGTTTAAAATGTTCTGAACATTGGCAATATGTGCAAAGGTTCTCATTAACTGTAAATATGAGGGTTCAGATAGAAGAAGAGGAATTATCTCAATGGCTTTTAAAGCTTGGAAGTGGAACATTACCTGTCAAGTGATGTGAAAATATATTTAAGTTCAGATAGCATTGAAACTGATGATCGTAATGAAATTTATGACTTTCCAGTCGAGTTTTTAAATAGTTTGACTCTATCAGATATGCCTGTTCATTGCCTAAAATTAAAAATTGGTGCTGTTATAATGCTACTTAGAAATTTAGATCTCAAAATCACCGTTTGATGGTGCGTGCACTACACAACAATTACGCTGATGGTGAGGTTTTAACATGTGTATCAGCTGGTAACAGGGTATTTGTTCCTCGAGTTCAATTAACTCCATCAAATGCAAATTTACCTTTTACACTTAAACGTCGTCAGTTTCCAGTTAGGTTAGCATACTCAATGACCATAAATAAAAGTCAAGGTCAAACATTTTAAAAAGTTGGTGTTTATCTCAAAAAGCCTTGCTTTTCACACGGCCATTTATATGTTGCATGTTCAAGAACAAGATCATTTAATAGTTTGTTTTTCAAAGTTGATAAACATCCATTACAAGGTATGTCATTTAACAAACATTATACAAATAATGTTGTCTTTACAAATGTTCTTAATTTTTAATTTGACAAGTATATTATGTGTTATATGTGTGTTATATTTTTTGTATGTTTTTTTTTTTGCTTTATGTGTATATAAATGTATGTGTTTATATGCGTTTATATATCTTTATTCATATTTATGTGCTTAAGTTTATATTAAGTTGTTTCCATGTGAAAAGTGGTGTTACTTGTGATTGTGTTAATTGTGATCCTTGCTAGCCAAGCGGTTTTACTAATTAGTGGTGTTACTTGACACTTAATGCGGTGTTACTAAAGTGTGGTGTTACTTGGCAGTGTTTAGTGTCAAGCGGTGTTACAAGTGTTGAGCTAGGTTGTGTTGTCTATCTTTTTTAATTATTCTGGAAACACATAATTTGAATATTTTGTGTTATGTGCACTTACAACGATTTTATGCTGTGTGTATTCAGTAGCATAGGCAGGGTATTTTGATGCTTCAGATAGCACTTTAGAATTAAAATACTTTGCAAAAAATTGATGTTGCTAGAGCTTAGGAACAAATGTTTAAAAAAAGTTTTTTTTCCTAACCTGAATTTTTTTAGACATACCAAAGTTAAACTCTTCAACAGCTTCTAAATATATATCTGAAACAACAAAAATCTTGCCTACACTACTGGTGTTATTGTTTGTTACTCCACATCCTCCTGTAATGTTGTTGTGATATTTTGTGTTGTTATACAGCTTGGTTAACCTTTACGTTGGTGTCTATCGTTAAAAATGATTATTGGGTAGCTTCATTACTGAAACTTACTCCTAATCATTCACTAAAAACCAAGAAATATTTTATCTTTAACATAGTTGATAAAACTATTTTATCTTTAACATAGTTGATAAAAGGTGCATATGTGAATTTATTTATTTTTTTTTTTTCTAGCACATAATCTATTGTTCACTAAAAAATATTATAGGGAGAAATAGAGATAAGGTTAATGTGGAATAGAGTTTTTCCTTTTAAGTGAAAAACTATTTTATAATCTATCTATCTATTGTATATTATTGCCGAACTTAATAGTAGTGTTAGTAGAAAGAGTCTCAGCACTTTTATTATAAGAAAACATGAATGAACATGTATGCAAATATCTAACCTACATAAACTTCAAATTAAGTAATGATAAAACATACTAAAACATTTTACAAGTTTTATAGTTTGATTTTGACTAAAAAATTGCATTGCGCCACGTCACCTTTCCTTAATTTTTTATCTACAGCAATTCCGTTAAAAACAATTTTTATATATTTTTAAAATTTCTATATTTGATGTTTCAGCATGGCCAAGTGGTTAGCAAGCTAAGCTTCTGAACGTAATAGTCGTGGTTCAAATTTACCACCAGCGATTTTTTTCTTAGAATCTTTAAATAAGAAAATATTTGTGAAGTTAAACAAGTTAAATGTTATACACTTTAACCGTTTTTTCTTGTTAAATTTTATAAATTTTTTGGATTTCTAAAAACACCAATGAACGGGGCAAAAATTTGTTGCGTGTGTGTCACGATTTTGATACTGTGCTTACATAATCGGTCCTAATAAGCTACAGATTGTCTTTAAAAAAAAGTCCTAAAACCTAATAAGGAAAAAGTTGATAAGACCGTCCTGCTACTCCACAAGGTATTGCAGTGGAGGCGGGGAAGAAAAAAAAAAGAATAGCATGTAGCTAGAAAAAACTGAAAGTTTTATTTTAACAATTAAAAGTTTTTTCGCTATACTTTATTTTTTTTGCTACAAATATAGCCAGATAAAAAAAATTTAAAAAATGTATTGAGATTTTTTAGGCGCGGATTAGAAGCCTTGCACAGCAACACTGATGACTGCGCACTTAACTTCTGAGCTATCGAAGTTATGCATGTAGTAGGCGCTTCAACATTTTTTTAAAAATGTAAAATGAAAACAAAATAAATACCATAAGTAAGAGCTAAATAATACATTTGAAAATTACCTAACTTAATACCAAACTTTAATACCAAACTTTTTGTTATATTATTATTAGTTTTTCAACTTTTAAACCACAAAATTTATGTTTTTTTTTTTTTTTTTTTGCATGACTTTTGACGCTTTAAGCAACTAATGTTTTTAAGAATCGCATTACCGTTTCCGTCTAATACAAAAGTAACAATAAACAAGACCGTTATTATTTAAAACTAAGAATATAATAATAAAATATTATAAATATAGTAAATAGTAACTATTGGAATTGGCTAGGACGCGACCATAAACCATAGTCCATGGCTGGTCTAAAAGTAGTAAGTAGTTTAGTTCAGAATTTTTCTTTAAAATAAATAAACAGGTTTTTTTTTGTTTTTTTTTTTTAATTCACCTCCTCAAGGCCGAGAAGGCCACTACAGACGAGGAGGCTACTTATTTGTGGTTATAACCCTCTCTCAACTCTATAACTCCAAAACACAAACCTTGATGAACAAGGCCGCTGCGCGGAGAAACAAGTTGAGCGCGGTACTACCAGGGACGTGGTGGGGATCGAACTCAGAACAACTTGTTAATGAAGCGAGCGCTCTACCACTACACCACTACTGCAGATAATAAAAAGGTTTAATAAGCTATATACGTATGCGGAAAAGGTGTGTATGTTAAAGTTTTTTTTTGCTCTCAAAGCAAATTTTTTTTAATGAATTTTTTTGCACTGTTTACTAAAAAATATTGAAGTAAATAAAGAATAAGTAAAGAAATAATCGGTGTGGAATAGATAAATATAGAAGTAGAAGAAAAGACCTGTACCGATATGGACAGTTAGATTAAGAAAATAAGGGAAAAGGTTTGTGTGGAATAGACTTACAAAGACCCGTATTTTTACGGTATTTTAATTCAGCTAGTATATATATATATATATATATATATATATATATATATATATATATATATATATATATATATATATATATATATATATATATATATATATATATATATTACAGTTTGAAAAATAATTTTTCTAAAGTGTCTGAGTGAAACACTCGATCCACAAAAATAATCAAATACAACTAAGACAAGTTACAGTTACAACAATAAAGTTAAAGACAACAAAGTCTCTTACCACCAACACCACAAAATCTTGCACCACAAGTTCTTGGAAATGGAACTGTGTAGTCTAAAGAACTGTAATCTGAAGTGTCACTTTTTCTGAATGTAAATGATGATGATGGTAAGACATCTGATGGTGTTGTTGCACTAATGTCATCACTTTTCTATAAATAAGACAATTATAAAATAATTATAAAAAAATAACTATAACAATAAAAATAAGAAAAAGATAACAGAGGTGTTTACAAACTATCAAATTAAATGTTTCTTAATAAATAATGAGAAAGACATCAAGGTTTCTAATAAATAAACAAATTTTCCAACCCTGATGTAATACTATTTCAGTAAATAAATATGCTTAGAGATCAATTTTTTTAGGGTAATAAATACAAAAGTATGTACACAAAATTTCGTTTTTTTATTTGAAAAAAACAAACACAATAAAATTTGAAAAACTAAAACATTTTTTTGAAACCACAACAAGTTTCAAAAAAATGTTTTTCCATTTTGCTTAAAATTAGTTTCAAAAATGACATAAAAATTATAAATAAAAAAATTATAAACAAGTTTATGGAAAATCCCAATAGAAGCTCCAACTCAATAGAAGCTACAACTCAATAGAAGCTACAACTCAATAGAAGCTACAACTCAATAGAAGCTACAACTCAATAGAAGCTACAACTCAATAGAAGCTACAACTCAATAGAAACTACAACTCAATAGAATATACAACTCAAAAGCAAAAGAGTTGCTTATACATTCCTACACCATTAGACATGTTATTCAATGTTTTTCTTAAACAAAATTAATTTAACTCAATTCTGGTGGTGGCAGAGAGTAGTTTTTCAAGATAAAAAAACTGGTTAGAAAACTGGTCAACAGTTTTAAAGAGGTTTTCAAGATATAAAACTGGTTAAAAAACTGGTTAACAGTTTTAAGATTAATCCAAGCCTCCCCCTTGTAAAACGATTTTCTAATAGTTTTGTTGTAAAAGATTGAAATAAACATGGTCTGCATTCTTCAAATCATGAACAAAAATTAGCACAGTATGTTACTGAGTCTACAATTCTAGTCAAATATATTATAAAGTTTGCAAAAATGCCTATAAATAACTATAACAATAAAATAATGTAATGTAAAATAATTATTTTACTTCCCCTACAGTTAAAACCTTCTCATTAAATCACATGATAAAAACCTTTTACTTCTCATTAAATCACATGATAAAAACCTGTGTTCCTGTTTAAAATCACATAATAAAAACCTGTGTTCCTGTATTAAATCACATGCTACAAACCTGTGTTCCTGTTTTAGCTTACAGTTATTATAGTCAATTGTTTATGGTATAAAAAATATTATGTGAAAGTTGTAGCTAAAAAAGCAAATCATTTAAACTGTCTAGAATTGAAAATTTTTTAAAAAATTTTCAATTCTAGACAGTTTAAATGATTAGCACTAACAAAGTAAAATTTTGAAATAATATTATTAAAAAATTGAAATATTATGAAATATTATGACCATATGAATAAATTCTTTTCTTTAAAATATTTTATGTTTTGAAATTATTACTTAGTTCTAAAATAAAAAATGGTATAATTAAAAAATTTAATTTTGAAGTAAAAACTTTTCACGCTTATTTCCTGAACTTAATTAAAAATAATTAACATACCACAGAGTCTTGTGACATAAAACCTTCAATTTGCTGTTTTAAGTAACGTAAACAAGGTTCTAAACATGGGCGATTAAACTTAACATGTTGTAAAGATAATTCTTCAAGCCCCTTTGCACATGCAAATAAATAAACAAAAAATTAAATAATTACCAAGTAAACAAATCTTTAAACACTTTCATAGATACAAATACTGAATTGAAAACACTTATTTTATATAAGTTCACATTACACATTTTTTCAAGCATCTCTGAATACTGAAATAGAACATAAAAAACATCATCATAAATATTTCCTCATATAAAAACTCACCTTTAATATTTTATCCAAATCTAGATTTGTTTTTGAACTTTTTGAAAATTGAAAATTTGGAGCAATCTTGTCAGGATATGAAGCAGGAAACGATATTTTAAGCTTCATTAGGCCATGCAGATTTGTTACTACTGTGCATTTTCGATGGTCTGGATCCATCTGCATTTAAAATAATTATCAATTTTATATTGATAGTATAATCAATAGACAAACATTTTAATTGTATTTTTTGTTTGCTTATTAGTCAAACTGACTATTTTCAAGTATCAATGTACTATTAGAATCAAAGATGAACAGAAAATTAGTTATGGGTAAAAAGAGACTTTATTCCCCCTTAATTTAGCTTATAATAAACTTTAAAAATTATTTATAAAAGGGAAATTTCATAAATTTCATTCGTACACCACTGGTTAGAAATACTAACTATTTCCCAAACAATAATATTTTATAAAAATAGTACTTACATTTACTTTATAAAGAGGACTAATTAAATTAATCAATGCAAATTCTTGATTTAAGTTTTTCATATGGAAATATTCATCGTAAGTATCATTTTTGGTTTCACATTTGATTTGATTGATTGGAGCTTTAAAAAATAAAAGCAAAGCAAATTCATATGATAAATTCTTAATTTAAAGTCATCATAGATGTAAAAGAATTCACAAAATTTCATAAGCAAAATCATCAGATCTCAAAGGAAAGACAAAAACTACAACAAAATAAAAAAACCTGTTTATTTCTGTAGCCTAACAAAATAGAAAACTTTATTTAAATTGAAAAAAAAAAATAGAATAAGTCTCCTACAGTTAAAAGACTTTACAAAATATTTAATCTGACTGGTAGAATATTTTTATAAAACTTTTATCTTTAGATCAAATAAAAAAACCTGGTCCTTTAGTTATTGTAAACAAATTTTAAAAGGTTTTGAAACTTTGTTTGAAACTCAGTATTCAAATATTTTAAACTCCACAAACAATACAAAAAACAATATTTCAGATTGTGAAAGTAAAAATGTAAGTAGAGGGTCTACAATAAACCATTGGTTCATTAAAATTCTTCAATAAAATGAAGCATAGTAAAGATTTTATCATGATATAATGAAGTAAAGCATGACAGAGATCCCAATAGTTTAGGAATGGAAAAAAAAAATCATAAATATAAAAGATTTCCGAAACAAAATATATAGCAATCTGGGTTTTGATTGAATGGTGCTGCATTCTTTTTTCTACAGTATAATAACCCTAAATAAAAAAAGAAAAAATAGAGTATGTTATATATTTAACAGTTATAGCTATATAATAGTTACAGCTAGTGATACAATATATAGTAGTTGTAGCTAGTTATAATCTATAGCATGTTTGTTTTAATATCTATCTTGCTTTGGTAATCAAAAAAGACTCTGCATTATGTAATTTAATGTAAGTATATACCCTTGTGGTGATCATAAAACAAATAAAGAATTTCTGAGAATTTTATGGTGTAACACTGATTGTCACTCAATTTCCAAAGATAAAGATATGTGGTCACTAACTCATTTTGTTCCTATTGTGAAAAGAGAAGTTTTATGCTCAAAGAAATTTATCAAAAGTGATTTAAAAAAAGGATCGTGTTCAGTTTTGCAAAGTGTTCTATCGCATTCTTCTGTTCCACTAGTGTTCTTAATTTATCTTGTCAACCTCTTAAAAATCTATTTTTTAAAAAAAATCATTAGTTCAATCTCACATAAAGTTTTGCATAGATAATGAAATAAAAATTATAGACGTAGATATTGATATTACTCCTAATCCAATCTTACTTAATTGTATTCCTTATACATCAAATCAGTCTTCAAGCCTTCCTTTTTATGATGTTTCTACTTACAATGAGCGCGGTAGACATTTATCTGCTGGCAAAGATGATTCAATGTTGTTAGATCTAGTTAATAAAATATTTATTTCTAACTTGTCTTTTGTTTTTTCCTGTTTCTGGTGAAAAAAAGAAACAATCACTTTTACATAAATGGTTACTTGAATATTCCTGGTTAGCTTACTCACAGATTGAAGATAGAGCATACTGCCTTCCATGTACACTGTTGGGTAGCAGAATTCCAAACAATACCATAATAATCAACTTTATTCGAAAACTTTTTACAATATGGGGTAATGCAACTCATGCTTATATGGATCACAATAATAATTGTGATCCATATAAGCAAATGTCAATGCATTGTCTTAACATGCTGCAATCTAGATCTAATTAAAAAAATTTGATTGAAGTTGACATCGATAATCTTAAAAAAAACTTATAATATGTAATCGAAATAAATTAATTCCAATTATAAAGACAATTATTTTTCTTGGCCGCAATGACATTGCTTTTTCGAAGTCATTGTGATGATAGTAAGTATCATCCAGAGATCGGAGAAACATGTAAAGACAACATTGGTATAAGTAACTTTGTAGAGCTTTTAAATTTTTATATTTAAACAGGTGATAAAGTTCTTGAGCATCATATTTGTTCTGCTCCTAAAAATGCAACCTATATATCTAAAACCTCACAAAGCGAACTTATTGAATGTGGAAAAACAATTGAAGAAGTTCTAATCAAGAAAATTAAAAAGTCAGGTTATTTTTCTATCATGTGTGATGGAGCCTTTTGATTATTCTAATATTGAACAGCTATCTCTAGTTTTAAGATACATTGACTGTGATAATGTTATTTGTGAAGACTTTCTACAGTTTATTGAATGTAAATCAATAAACTGTAGAAAGTCAAATAATTGACTATTTCTATGCCATCACTGTTGTTCTCCAAATTAAAACATTTGATATATCAAAACAATATAATGAAATAAATGTTTCATAACTCAAAATTTAAATTAAAAAATATATATATTAATGCCTATCATAATGAAAGGTACTTAATTGCTCTTGATCTAACTAAAATTCTTGATGTTTCAGAAGTTAAACCAAGGCTCTGTGGCAGACAAATTTATAGAGATAACTATCCCTCTAGAGCATTAAATTAATGAATTAGACGATAGATTTCAGTAAGGTGAGATGGTTGTTTACAAAGTTTTATCTGGTATTCTGTAACTGTTAAAAAAAAAATAAAGAAAAATGTTTTTGAAAGTTAGATTTTATGGAATTTTGGCATTTTTATATATCGGATATGCCTCATCTTAAATCAATTCATGCTGAATGAGATTTGTGAGAAACATTTTGGAACAATCTATGATCCCATCCACTATTACAGAGACTTTTAAGTCTATCGGTATAAAAGGTTTCTTAAACATTAGGGAAGGTTTTTTAATAATGGGAACAATTTCAATTACTACATGTTAATGCGAGAGGAGAATTTCTTTTATATGCAGACTGAAAACTTATATGCGAAGCCGTATGACTGAGTCAAGGTTTAATTCTTTAGCTTTGATATCTACTCATCAAGAAATAATTCCTGATGTAAAGTTTTAAATATTTTTTCTTTTTAGGGGAACAATGCTTAGAGTTGTTTTTACCTAATATTAATTTGTTAATTTATTTTTTGTTTATTGACTATATTTGTGTATTTTATTTTATATTTAAGTTTATCTTATATTTAGTAATAAATTAGAAAAAGCAATATGAAAAATTAAAAAAAAAAACTATAAAAAAAATTTGGCCTAACTGCCTATCAAGAAAAGAATCCAGAAATGGAGGGCTAACCTAAGGCAACAATATTAATACTTTACAAAAACTGCCTATCAAGAAAAGGAAAGAATCCAGAAATGGAGGGCTAACTTTAGGCCACATGACAGTTTACAGAGTGCATAGTCGTATGGCTTACTTTCTGAGATAACTCTTTTGTAAAAAGTTATCTCAGTGTATTAATATCAATCATAAACTTGATTTTTGCTAGTTAACTAAAAAGTAAGTGGACTAATTTAAGTTAGACTAAAAATTTAGTTAAATATTTTTAGTTAGACTAAAACTAACCTTAACTCCCACCTCTACTTTAAAACAAAATCAATCAAGGATTCATCAATATTCCATTTACCAGGATCATTAGATATCATGGTATCATGTTCGCAATTTCAACGTTTGTGGTGATTTTAATACCATCAGTTGTTTTATTTAAACTAGAATTGGAAATAATGTTTTGTGGGGACTTTGCGGAAATGTTTTGTGGAATAACGGTATTTTCTGTGGATGAAACTAGCATAATTTTAGCACTATCAAAATAGAAATTTCCAACAAGATAGTGCTAAAACTACTTTAATATCAGTTTCGGTTCAATGAGGGTTTCAGTTTAGTTCATGAGGGTTTCAGTTCAGTTCATGAGGGTTTCAGTTCAGTTCATGAGGGTTTCAGTTCAGTTCATGAGGGTTTCAGTTTAGTTCATGAGGGTTTCAGTTCAGTTCATGAGGGCTTCAGTTCAGTTCATGAGGGTTTCAGTTCAGTTCATGAGGGTTTCAGTTCAGATCATGAGGGCTTCAGTTTAGTTCATGAGGGTTTCAGTTCAGTTCATGAGGGTTTCAGTTCAGTTCATGAGGGTTTCAGTTCAGTTCATGAGGGTTTCAGTTCAGTTCATGAGGGTTTCAGTTCAGTTCATGAGGGTTAACTCACTAGCGCTATTTTGTTTGCAACAATAAAAAAAACATATAAATTTTGACTTCCTATTAAATTTGTTAAAAAAAAAAAAATGGAGTTGAATTGGAATAAAGTTTTATCAATTAGAATAGAGGAGATAATTCTGTATTTGAATATTTTTTTATTTAATAATTTTGATCAGTGTGTGGAATGATATGATGTGATCAGTGTGTAGAATGATATGGTGTGATCAGTGTGTGGAATGATATAGTGCGATCAATGTGTGGAATGATATGGTGTGATCAGTGTGTGGAATGATATGGTGTGATCAGTGTGTGGAATGATTTAGTGTGATCAGTGTGTGGAATGATATGGTGTGATCAGTGTGATCAGTGTGTGGAATGATATGGTGTGATCAGTGTGTGGAATGATATGGTGTGATCAGTGTGTGGAATGATATGGTGTGATTAGTGTGTGGAATGATATGGTGTGCGGTTTGACTCAGTTTTACTCTAGTTATTTTATTATTAACTAAAATTTTATAGTTATTTCATTTTATTATTAACTAAAAATTTATAGTTATTTCATTATATTATTAACTAAAAATTTATAGTTATTTTATTTTATTATTAACTAAAAATTTATAGTTATTTTATTTTATTATTAACTAAAATTTTATAGTTATTTCATTTTATTATTCACTAAAAGTTTATAGTTATTTCATTTTATTATTAACAAAAAATTTATAGTTATTTTATTTTATTATTAACAAAAGTTTATAGTTGTTTTATTATTAACTAAAAATTGTGTATCAACTAAAAATTGTGTATCATATAAAAATTAAGTATTAACTGAAAATACTTTTTTTAGATTTTTCAGCAACAATATCAAGACTATTCTTTTCTACATGTTGAACAACTGAATCATGTTGACCAACTGCATCATATTGACCAACTGCATCTTCTTGACCAACTGCATCATGTTGACCAACTGAATCGTGTTGATTTAAAATATCTAATTTATCTGGCCGATCTAACTTTTCTTTCTGGAAATGCAATTCGTTAATTGTTGGAATCAAGTTATTTGAAGTAAATGCATATTTTTCTGGGGTATCATAAGATGAAGAAGCAATACTGACAGGTGATTCATTTAAAAATGAAGGCTTTGAAGACTTGTTGTATTTTCCGGTTATAGCCTAAAATTGAAAAATAATATTCATAAAATATTTATTATATTCTCATTGTTAATAATAATTGTAACATTAAAAATAAATATAGTATTAAAAATAATAATAATAACAGTATCAGTTATAATAATCATAATAAAATTAATGGTATTTTCCAACATGAAATTTTTATGTTTACTCTATTTAAGTCAGTTGATGTATGTACTCCCTATGTAAGTTACATAACCTGCATGTTCTCCCTATTTAAGTAAGTTAATATATGTGAAATAACTAAACAAAAAAAACAAAAGCAAAAACAAAACAAAATAAACAAAACAAAAAATAATAATAATAATAAAACCATTTCAAACAAATTCTGTTTACAAAGCAGAAAATGTACACAAACATTTTCTGCTTTGTAAACAGAATTTCTTTATTTGTAATTTCTTGTCATTATGTAACAATAACAAACTTGCTTATTATTAAAACTAACATCACAGATCCAATACAAAGAATAACAATAATTTTATAACCCTGGAAATGATTTTTATTTAATATAACTAAATCTAAAAAGTTATAAAGTCATGCGTGTCAACTCTAGCATCTCAACTCTAGAATGAAGTGTGACTACTCACTAGCACAACCAACAAAATTTAGTTTTAACTGAAATTCCAAAAGAGATATTGGAACTCAAATTATTAAATAGGTATACTCAAGCACATGTTTGTATCAAAAGACACCATCATTTGAAAAAAACTTTACAGTATATATCAACATAATAGTTCCTTGAGCTGTAAATATAAAAACTACAAGACACAGTGCAAAATGTGAAAGCCAATTACTCCTGAAGACAGACATAAACAAAGGCAATCTTATACAATTGTATAACTATGCAACCTACAATATATTGCTATGAGATAATGAGCAAAAATCAAGTTTATGATTGATATTAATACACTGAGATAACTCTTTACAAGTTGTTTAAGAATTTAACAAATGCATTTATCATATTGTTACTTAAGACAGTATATATATATATATATATATATATATATATATATATATATATATATATATATATATATATATATATATATATATATATATATATATATATATATATATATATATATATATATATATATATATATCTGTTAAACATAAATAATATATATATATATAAATATATGAATTATATATATATAATAAATATAAAATAATGTATATATAAACATATATATATAAATATATGAACTGTTTAACATAAATATGTGTATATATATATATATATATATATATATATATATATATATATATATATATATATATATATATATATATATATATATATATATATATATATATATATGAACTGTTTAACATAAACATGTGTACATATATATATGAACTGTTTAACATAAATATATATATATATATATATATATATTTATGTTAAATATATATATATATATACAAACTGTTTAACATTTATATAAAGTTCAAGCTTCTTTTATAGAAATATAAGCAGCAGTAAAATAATTTTTGTGTTAATAAAGTAATATCATGTTGTGTTAAGTAAATAAATTTAATTTTAAATTCTTTTTTGATATTAAGGTCTCCATAATCATAAATGTATATATATTCCTTTTTTTTGGATAATTTTTTTAAACAGAGGTCTCTAACTGATTGTAGAAATTTCAACTCCATTATCACGGTTGAGAAGTATAGGAGTGTGTTTTATTTCCTGGTATGTTAAGGCATAGTTAATTTCAAGAGATTCTTTAACTTATATATCGATATATATATCAATACATCATACTCTGATTTTTTTGTTAGAGTTTTTAGATGTGATCAATCAAACATACCATTACATTCTCTACCATGTTCAGTTGCCTTAGATGCATCCCATTTATTTTAAATAGTTTCTTTGATGTTTAATGCATCTCTAAAATTTTCTTTTTTGTTTTGCCTATGTAAAAACTGTCACAAGAGCATGTAAGTTTGTAGACAAAGTTTTTAATGTGGGTGGTGTAGTAAAAATTATTCTCGAAATACAAAACCTTTAAAAACACCCATAACTATTTTTGGACTAACATTTGATGTGTGGGCTTTATTTGTATATTAGAGATAGCTGATTTTTGATGGATTTTGTCATAGTATGAGTTATTAGTATCATAGTATGAGTTATTAGTGTTGGTTATAGTTATATCCAAAAAGTTTAATTCTTTTTTATTGTTTAGAATGGAGGGTTGTAATGCCACAACATCAAGTTGTGGCATTACATCCCTCCAGTTCTATAATTTTTACAAGATACTCTGATGATCCATATGGTGGGGTACCCATGGTAGAAATGACTGGCCACATTGGATAATTTTTTTCTAGTTTGAGAGCTTTTATGATTCCATATAAATGTGGAAGAACACAGTCAGAAGGGACATTTAAAAATAAGTCCTGTTATCTAACTTTTTTTATTTTCTTAATTTGCATAATAACACAAGGGTACTAAAAATTTGCACAAAATTTAAACGTTCGAAAATCCCAAACAAATTCGAATATTTCTGCAGTTCGAAGTTATTCACTAGACATTCTTATTTCATAATTTGATACTGATTTTGGCAATTAAAATTATATAAATAAAAATAATATTTTTATTTAATCCAATTGTTTTTGCTTATTGTAAGACTTTTTATAAAGTTTTTAAATTTTTCTTTTAAATGTTTCTTTTTAATTTCATAACAAAGTTTTTTTGATTTTTCAGTAACATTTTCAATAATTTTATAACAATCAGTGCAAAAACAAGAAAAAATTTATTTTGTACACAGCTGTTGTTTTATGCTTTATATTTTATATATATATATATATATATATATATATATATATATATATATATATATATATATATATATATATATATATATATATATATATATATATATATATATATATATATATATATTCACCTACAACAAGATATGACATTGAAACATAGCATTGCTTGGTCATCTTTAATTTTTCCCATAACATGCCAACATTAAGTGTTTTTAAAAAAGGTAAATATAGAACACCTGAAATAGTTTCAAAACTTAAAAAATATTTTTCTTAAAATTGATAGATTGCCTGACCAAACAAAAAACCACAATCAATGTAGCAACACTCCTTGTTTACTCTACCTATTTAATTCAGTCAATGAAAGTACACTCCCTGCATGTTGTACCTAATCAAGTCAGTTTATGAATTTACACTTCACACAAATCCCAAATCAAATCAGTGGATTAAACAAAAAAACAAAAAAACAAACAAGGACAGTGCTTAAAACAATGTTTTTAAAAGAATGCATTCTTACACCCAATATATGTTCTCTATATAGTAAATTAACATTAAATTAAAGAAGTTAGTATTTTTAGGGTTGCCAAATGGCTATAAAAGAAAATATACTTGAAATTATAAGATTTAAATTCACACAGAAATAAACAAATACATACAGAATCACAATTAAACAGAAACACATTAGTTATACTTGTATTGTTTTTTTCTCAATTCGCCATATTTTTAATGTCTCATCTTTTGACCATGATATCAATTGGTATTCTTCTTCATCACCTAAAAATAAAATGTGACTATCATCATTGAACTATCTTGAGTAGCCATTTATCAAACTATTTTTAAAAGGTATAAAGAATATATATACTAGCTCGGATGAATCTATATGATCCATCAAGGACAGAAAAGTATGCTAACTTGGATACGACAAAATAATATAATATTTAAATAAAATATAAAATAGATAAAAATATTTTGTCAGTTGACATTTCATTAAATTGCTAAAGAAGTTTCCTTAAAATTTTAATTTTTAATTTCAAATGTTACTTCTGCAACATCTGCTAAAAAATAACATTAGTTTTAAATTTCATGTAAAATCCAAAATTCAAAATAGAGCTTTAACGGAGGGAACACCTCAATCTTATGGATCTATATATATATTTTTAAAACTCAATTTTTTTAAACTGACATGAAATTTTTTACCAGAATTTTTTAATAACTTTGTCAATAAGGTTTATTTTTTATTGCAACAAACTTCCTATTTAAATTTATTTAAACAAATAAATTGAAGATGTTTATTGCACCAAACTTCGTGTTTAAATTTAAACAAATAAGATGAAAAAGTTATATTTTTTATTGCATCAAACTTCCTATTGAAATTAAAACAAATAAATTGAAGAAGTTTTTTTTTATTATTGCACCAAACTATTATCAAAGAAAATGCCAAAATTATAGAAACAAAATTTAAAATAGCTATTGTTGCCGGCTTTCCAAAATCCTCTGACAATAATTAGAGGAAAACTTCAAAGTATGCTCAAAAAACTTAACTATAATGGTGCTCTTAAAGTTGTTGGATATTTATCAAAAAAGTTCAACAATACAAACTAGTTTGACTACAATAGCAACTAAACCAAATGAATTAATTACCATCAAGTTTGACTCAAATGCATAGCAACGATCTCTTATCTAATGCAAAGTGACTCGCCTCAACAGATAAATTAAAATCTGTCTACATTTGTCCAGACCATACACCTCTCAAACAACAAACCTTTAACAGCTCAAAAAAAAAGCATGCTTATGAAAATGTAGAATTGTTGCTGAAAGTTTCATTTGATAAACCCTTTTGATTTGTCATCTGCAGCAAAAAAATTAAATGCATTGACACATCTACAACAGTCAACATCAATGGAAGAGAGAAAAACCATTCCTTAAATGGAGTTCAGTGGCTGAGGTCGTAGCTGTTTATACAAACAATAATAAAGGTCAGGTCAGGTCAGGATAATCGAGATCAATCTTGCTACTATCACTTAACCCAGTACCACAAGCCCTGCTGTCTTGCAGAGTGTGCTTTTCTTATGCAAAGGCTAGGAGAAATAAACTCCGACTAAAAATTCCCCTGCCTTGGGGCTCTTGACTGAGTAAAGGCTAGAGATGGTGTCTCGATAAAAACACTCATCTTGGGCAGATGTTAACTGCATCCAGCTAAACATCCCCTGCCTTGGGGCTCTTGGTTGAGTAAAGGCTAGAGATGGTGTCTCGATAAAAATACTCATCTTGGGCAGATGTTCACTGCATCCTGCTACTGTCTTGTAGAAGGCCTCCTAGGCAAAGACTTTAGGGGTAAGCAGAAAAATTCTGCTAACCAGCCTCGAACCCCTTCTTCATCTATTAGGCTGGCGTAGATGTAACCTGTGTTACATTGTTTCCTGCCTAGGATGATGAATGCTGGATCTCCTTGACTCTACTCATAGAATTTTGCTTATGCCTTCTTGATAATGGCTATGCACCTCTTCCTGTTATCTCCATATGAGGGTACAGCTCTAAAACTCAGTTTAATGGTTCTGAGGCCGGCTGGTAGTAAGGTTTCCCGAACTCTGTGGTAGCTCTCAGAGAGGCTGATTCCATCAACAGCTGCAAAATATCAGAGTATTAACAGTGCCATGTTGCGCATGGATGGTGTCCCTGTTAATGCTTTTGGTGTGCATTGTCAAGGCCACATAAGGAGCCCTATGTCACGGCTTAGGGTTAATTAACAGGACTGAGACAACTACATAGCTCATTGATTAGGAGGCTGTGCTCTATCTATGAATGAGTCTAGTTCTCATTAAACCCAAATCATGACCAAAGTAACCAAAAATTTAAAACCTAAAAAACCATCCCCACCACCTAAATATTTTAATATATCTTTTACAAATATTCGCGGTCTACAAAGCAACTTTCCATCAGTTGAGTCTTACCTCCTGCAAAATTCACCAGACTTGATTGCACTCAGTGAAACAAATTTAAGTTCTGCAATTCCTTCTTCAGATGTCAGTGTTGATGGGTACTATCCTTTGATTCGTAAAGACTCCAATAGTCACATGCTAGGTTTAGGGGTATACATACGCATTAATTCCCCTATTTGTCGTGAAATCAGGTTCGAATCCTTTGACCATTCTTTTATGTGCTTTTGCCTAGCACCTCTTCACTCTATCACCTTTCTCTTTGTTCTTTATCGTTCTCCTTCTTCCCATGATTCCATGATATCTCTGATCAAATTGACCATGCCCTCTCTCTTTACCCCTCTGCCAATATTGTTGTTGTTGGTGATTTTAATGCCCATCACACTGAATGGCTTGGCTCTAACACCACTGATCCTGCTGGCACTAAAGCCTTTAACTTCTGCGTTTCTTAATCTCTCACTCAGATAATTAACTTTGTGACTCGTTTTCCTGACAACCCTAATCATTTACCTTCACTCCTTGACTTATGTCTGACCCTAGCTTATGTTCAGTTTCTCCCTTTTCTCCCTTAGGTGGTTCTGACCATGCAATGATCTCTATAAATCTTTCTTCTCGTACTTCTTTTTTGGGCTCACCTTATCATCGCACCACCTACTACTACCCTAAAGCTGACTGGGATTCCTTTTGTGATTTTCTTCGTGATGGTCCTTGGGCTGATGTTTTTTCTCTCTCAGCTGACAAATGTGCCTCCTACGTAACCTCCTGGATTCAGGCTGGAATGGAAGCTTTTATTCCTTCTCGTCGGTTTCAAGTCAAACCTCATTCTACTCCATGGTTTTCTCCTTCTTGTGCGGCTGCTATATCCAATCGTAACCATTTTTTTCATCTTTTTCAAAAGAACAAACAGCTATTTATTATTGCAAGAAATTGATGTAAAAAGGTGCTTTCTGATGCTAAATTCCATTATTCTCAGTTCACTAAATCTCGCATCTTATCGCAGAAGTTAGGCTCTGAAGACTTTTGAAAAATCTTCAACAGCATTGTTAACAAGAGTAGATCTAACATTCCATCTCTCATTCATGGGACTGATCTTATTACCTCTCCCAAGGATAAGGCAGAACTATTTGCAAATAACTTTTCTTCTAATTCCACTCTTGAATCTTATGGACATTCTCTTCCTTCCATTCCAGTCAAACAGGTTGACCCATTGTTAGACATTCAAATCACTCCGGCTTCTGTTGCTAAAGTCATATCTCAATTAAACTCGTCTACAGTTTGTGGTCCAGACAACATTCCTGTCACAGTCTTGCAGAATTGTTCTCCAGAACTTTCTTCAATTCTCTCTAAACTATTTAACAAGTGTTTGACTGAGTCTTGTTTTCCTGCTTGTTTGAAAATGGCATCTGTGGTTCCAAAAACTCTGGAGAAAATTCTGACCCCTCCAATTATCGTCCAATCAGTCTTCTTTCTGTTATTAGCAAGGTCTTTGAGTCTTTGATCAACAAATTCCTCGCATCTCATCTTGAGTCAAATAAACTGCTGTCAGACAATCAATACAGTTTTCGATCCTCTCGCTCTACGGCTGACTTGCTAACTGCTGTAACTGAAAGATTTTATCGTGCATTAGATCGAGGCGGTGAGGCTAGGGCTATTGCTCTCGACATATTTTAAGCTTTCGACAAAGTTTGGCATGCTGGTCTTCTCCATAAGCTTGCTTCATATGGTGTTTCTGGGAAAGTTTTTGAGATTATCAAATCATTTCTTTCTAACCGGTTTATTAAAGTCATCCTTGAAGGCCAACACTCTTTTTTTATTTCCAGTAACTTCTAGGGTTCCCCAAGGTTCCATCCTGGGCCCTGTTTTGTTTCTTATCTACATAAACGATCTTCCTGACAACCTTTCATCTAAAGTAGCTCTTTTTGCTGATGACTCAACTTTATACTCCTGTCTTGACAAAAAGTCTTCTCTTTTCGATCGCCTAGAACAAGCAGCTAATCTTGAATCTGATCTCACTTCAGTAATAGATTGGGGTTCACAGTGGCTTGTGAATTTCAACTCTAAAAAAACCCAATTGCTTACTGCAAACAACTACCGTAATATGGTCAACATTCCTATATTAATGAATGGCAATCCTCTTACTGAGTCCTCCTCTTTACGTCTTCTTGGATTATCGCTTACTACAGACCTTTCATGGAAACCATATATACAATCGATTACTAAATTAGCTTCTGCTAAGGTTGCTTCTCTTTATCGTGCTCGCCATTTCCTTACTTCTGATTCCATTCTCTACCTCTAAAAATCTCTTATTCGTCCCTGTATGGAATACTGTTGTCATATTTGGGCTGGTTCTTCTAACGATTCACTTTCTCTTCTTGACAAGGTCCAAAAACACATTGTAAATGTTGTTGGACCTGGACTATCTGCTAAGCTTGAACCTCTTTCCCATCGTCGTAAAGTTGCATCTCTTTCTCTTTTCTACAGATACTATCATGGTCACTGCTCAAAGGAGTTATCATCTCTAGTTCCATCAACTAAAATTCATTCTCATTTTACTCGTCATTCAGCTAAGTCTCATTCGTTTACTGTATCTGTCCCTGCATGCTCTAAAAACTTTTATTCATCTAGTTTTTTTCCCCGCACTTCAATCCTTTAGAACTCTCTCCCATCTTCATGTTTTCCTGACTCATACAACCTTCAACTTTTCAAGTCTTCTGTCAACCATTTCCTTGCTCTATAACTCTGTTTTTTTTTTTCCTAGTAACTCCCAACTTAATAGTGGTTGCTTGCAACCTTGTTGGGAGTAAATGCAAATAAAAAAAAAATAATAATAAAAAATAA